CCCCCCCCTGCTCTCTCGCTCGCGCCGCTCCAGCGAGGCGGGCGCAACAGACGCACACGACTGTTTCATAACTTTATCCGCGACGGCGCCCCCCCCCCTCTCTGCCCCGCGCTCCGCTCCGCCCGGCCCAACGTCTGAGCGGCCGGGGCAGGCCCGGGGCTCGGGGCGGTATTGTATTGTCTTTATGTGAAAGGTGGGCTCGTGGCGGGGCCGGGCCGCGGCGCGCAGCCCAGGGCAGGCCCGCGTCGTAACGGATCCGCACACTATATTTCCTGCTTTTATTATATGGAGGGGGCACCGTAAAAGGGTGCCCCCCCCCTCTCCCTCCAAACTCCGGCCACTCCCGCCACCCCCACCGCACCCCGTCACAGCAGCGGCGGCGGAGTCTTGATGTGCATGGCATCCCCCCCCTCCCCCTCCTCCCTTTCTCTTACAGAGTGGGGAAGGAAGAAACGGGAGACATGGGGACGGTGACGACAGGTAAACCACGCAGAAGAAGACTACTCATAAGGCAGTGTGTGTGCGTGTGCGTATGTGTGCGTGTATGAGGGGGGTGTGGGGGTGAAGGGGGTTAACGTGCTGTCAGTTTCATTCGAAGGGAAAGCGAGGTTAGCGTGGGCCTACCCCTGTCTGTAGGGTTTTGCAATCTCGTTCGTAGTCTCTAGTCTGGCAGTGGCGTATGTCGTGTGCTTGGGCCATGCGGCGAAAGAAAGAAGGGCACCTTAGGGTCGTAATTTTGTTTCAGTTGCGGTTGTGTCTTTCTACAGCCAGTCTTTCCGCTGACTGGGTCTTATTCGCACCGCAATCACGACGCACCCCCTCCCCCTCCCCCCCGGGGGCCTCCCGTTCGGTCCAAACAAGCGGCAGGCGGGACAAAAGCCGCCTGCACATTCCCACAATGACCAAATAGAGGGCAGGCCGCCGCCGCTGTCGCGCTCTCACTCGCACGCGCAGGGCACCGCCGGGGCGGCGGGCTGGGTGACGGAGAGGGAGGATGTGGGGGCGGGGCGGCCGAGGGGCGGCCGAGGGGCGGCACGGACGCCAGCTTATGGAATCCCCTGTCCCGGCCCGGCGGCAGCCTCACGACTTATGACGCTCTGGGCCCGGCAATGGTAACTACCGAATCCCCGCCCGCCCCCCTCCTCCGTGCCTCGGCAGGGGAAGGCCCTCATCCCCACTATGAGTTCCTTAAGGACCTCCGGCGACTGGCCTGCTAGAGGTCGCACCCGCTCTCCTCCTCCACCACCACCACACCGCCTCCGCTGCCACCTAAAATGATGACACACTGCAAAGAATTGGATTGGCTGCGTGTGGAGGACAAAAAAAGGAAGACGTTTATGCGGAAAAGCTATGGGGAATGGGCAGCATTGCTCTGCGAGCGTGAGGAGGAGAGAGCTTATATACACCCACCGCGCCTGCTCGAAGAAGTGTTTCACGGCCGGCAGGTCTTCGTTCTTTATTTTTTTCTGCCTTTTTTGAAAGTATGTTTCCATTCAGCTTTGTGTGTCTGCGTGTTATTATACTCGACGTCCTTATTTGCAGGAAAGGCGGAGGAGAGTGGAGGACTTCATCAGTGTGTCGTCTCTCTTCTAAGGGTCCAAACAGTCCAAACGAAGAGGGAAGGCCGACGTATGGAGGTGAGTGAGCGTAGGTGTGGGGGGGAGATAGAAGAGGGGGAGGAATAGACTGATGGAACGGGTGGCAGAGGGAGCATGGAGGGCGCAGGAGCAGGGGTGGTGGAGGGTGGCGATGGGCCTCGGAGACCGGTTGAATCGAATGGGACAACTGTAGGCTCGATATATAGCGCGCTACTGATAACGGGGGCGGCAATGTGGACTCCGTGTCCAGCTCACGCACACACACACACACACACACACTCTCACACACACACTGACAGAGTACAGCACCAACAGCCCTTGTCGATGTCTCTAGTCCTTTGTGGAGCTCACATGTGTTCATTGTATGTGGCGGGGCGCGTTTCGGTCCGACCTTTCTACGTACGCACACTACCAGCGCTCGCGCACACACACTTTCCCGATGGGGCAGAAAACGGATGTCTTTTCGTGGGAGGTATAGCCATCTCGACGGTCTCACTATTTACCGCAACCTACCTTGGCCCCCTCTGTTTCGCCCCCCTCGCCATAGTGAGCACTTTGCTCCTCGGGGAGTGTCCCCGCCGCCCCCGCCGCCGCCCGGAAGGGTCGCGGAGGTCACCGGGCGGTCACCCGTCAGGCCCGTCAGGTGC